CTGTTGGTTCCTTGCCTCTCCGGCAGATGCACTCCGACTTCAAAGGAAGCTCCCCAATTAGTCGACTCTTAGTGCTTTTTGGGGACAGTGGGTCTTGTATTCCCCACGACATGGATTTGGGGACTAAACAGATTTTTATAATAGTGGGTATATTCAAATGACCATTTTCTATTTATAGCTCTGCCAAAGAAACCCACAATGTGGGCCCGGAACATGACCCACACTGGGGGATTTTGGAATTGAAATAATACAAAAGCATTTGACTGTGTGAAGTGAAGAATAATAAAGGCATTGATGGAAAAAGGATCTACGAATAAAGCTATCAGGATTGAAAACGGTTAGGTACATTTCAAATAAAACTACGACAAGGGATAATTTAAGTATGTGGGCACATGGATAACATCAGATGGAAGATGCATAACCGAAATAAGAAACAGAATAGGACAGGCAAAAACTGCATTTTATAAAATGAAGAATATCTTGTGCAATACATCCTTGTCATTGAGAGTTAGAGAAAGAATTCTTGCTTGCTACATACATCCAGTTTTAACATATGGCTGTGAATCAGTAGGCAGGTCAAATAATTTCTTGAGGCCTCAGAGATGTTTTTTTACAGAAAAATGCTTAGAATACCTTGGACAAACAAAAATAGCAGCCAAGAGGTTTTGAAAGAGGCGGGAGCCTGAAGACAACTTATCACAGACATCAGAAGGAGACAGTCATCATTTTTCGACTATGTTATGAGAAGAGGCAAAATAGAACATGTTGTGACCACTGGAAAGATCTATGGAAGGAGGGATAGAGGAAGACAACGAGAGAAGATTCTTTACAGTCTTGTTGCATGGCATGGAGATGTGCCAGCATACGAACTGTTATATGCTGCAGGAGATCGCAGATTGTGGAGAGGCATGATCGCCTAGGCCAGTCGGCAAGTCACTTGATGAGGATGATGATGAGTGTGATTTTTTAACTTTCACAATCATTTAGGAAGAAATAGATGACTTGTAGCTTAAATTGTATAGAAACTAGGGCTGTACTGAAATTTTTATTTTCACTATTCGGCCGAATACGAATAGCGGGACCAACTATTCGGCCGAATAAGAATACGAATACGAATACTGAATAGTGTATAAAATATTTCTTTAAAAAACACACACACATTCATAATGTCAAATGTACGCTGAACTTTTACTTCATATAAAGTAGCACAGAATAGTCATCTTCTTCTTTAGCATTCTGAGCCCTTGGGGATTACTGTTGCAGAATATCACCCGTCTCAATTCATCTCTCTGGCTGGCCTTATCTTCACAATTTGTGACACCAGCTGTTTGCAGGTCTGGCTGGACATTATCTCTCGAACTTCTTTCTTGTCTGCCTCGTGGTCTATGCCCATCAGTGGTGATTTAAACAGATTATGTGTTACGTTGTTGCTTCTCACTCTCCATTCCCCGCTGTTAGCATCTTTGATAGGTGTGGCCCTACTGCAACTATTCGGTCGAATACCGAATAGTCAATAGGTCTACTATTCGGCCCCGAAGCGAATACGAAGCGAATATTCGGTACAGCCCTAATAAAAACATTCTTACAATACCAAGGACAAATGCGTGGGGGTGGGGTCATTGTCCATTTATGTATAACAAAACAAAAATCTCGACAACGTTAAACATTCTGCGAACAATATCGGTTATAATTGTGGTCTGGTTTCTTTGTGCCAATTATGTTGGCTAAGAAATGTAAATTGCTCCAAAACTAAAGAAAACTGCCTCATAAACAGCATCTAGTCTCGAAAACTGAAATACTTTATTTAATAATTTCATACGTCACCATAGATGGAGAGGAAAGGGGCGGAGGGCATGGTATCAGATAAAAGGGATAGGTTTCCACAGACAGGATGATAAGCACATAACATAAAAGACATGTTCGGCAAGAAAGTGCATGAAGTGTGCGAGCTGGTGGGCGACCGAGTTTCAAAGACATAAAGTTCCACAGTTCGAATGAGAATCCCCGGTGCACATGTCCCAGAACTCCCGTTCCACCGTTAGGTTATATCGGGGTCCTTGACGACAACCGGCTTAAAGATTTAAAATGATAAAGAATTTCGTCTCGTGTTAACACGGTTGCAGTCGAGTTTCTGTGTGTCGTTCAACCCCATGAGGACCGTACAACGAGCGACCAACACCCGGTGACAAAAAATGCCATTATTTGGATGAAGATCACTCTGGTACAAATCCAAGTTCAACAGTTATGTTAAATTAGGGTCCCCGACAACAGCAGCAGTACCCTTGAAAACACACCGCGTCCAAATGTCGGATGCAGTGTTTGTTGTTGTTTCAAAGCCCCACCCTGGCAGTTGCCAGAGGCCCTAATATAACTCAACTTGTGGGTTGAACGGGGTTTCTGGGACCTCTCCCCGGGTGACCTCATCCGCATGGTGGAACTTTGTGTCATCGTGTGTAAATCGCTTGGTGGATGTCCTGGTGGGATTGAATCTCACTCACTCGCTCAGCCTGAGGGGGGTTTTGAAATAACAAAAATTGCATCCTGTATTGGGACCGCGTATCGTAGTCGAGCTTCTTTCCAAAAAGCCCATGATAGGAGTGTGCTCTGTAAAGGTCCTACTGATTTGTGAGTGGCCATTTGGGGGTCAATCATTCAGGATGCAGTCCCTGGGAAAGCAATTACAAAAAAAGAGGAAAAGCTGCTAGAAACTCTTCAGATCATTAATGTAGCACCGAGTCTTTGTTTCTGCTCCTTTCTTTTTCGTGACTATCTCCCTGCATTATTACTAAGGGAAATAACCTGCTAAAACTGTGAATACTTTAGTCTATGGAGTTGTCATCCTGCTTTTCTATTTAAATGTCAGATGCATTTTAGTAATCAGTCCAACGCAAACATAAGTAACAGGAGAGGGGTTTGTTAAAACAAGTAAAACAAAACAGCAGAAATTCTTATAATCTTTCCATAATGGATTGTACACAAGATTCAGCGTAATTTCCGCTATAAAAAAGCAGATTTAGTCGTAACCAAATGGTTCACATCGCGATAATCATTACGTCCTTTTCAGGACGTAATTTTTTGTTATTTGAAGCCCCACTCTGGCTTTTGCCAGGGGCCGCAATATAGGCAGGTCATCATTATGGCCAAATGTCTGAACTCGGTTTCTGGGACCCCTCCACGGTGATCCTCATCCGCATGGTGGCACTTTGTGTCTTCGGGTGTTTATCGCTTGTGTGATGTCCTGGTGGGGTAAAAAAATCCAATCTAATCACATCGCGATTTGTAAAGCAATTTTTCGAGGGTAGGTTGTAGACAGTATGGCCGCTGCTACACCTCTTAATGTTCTAAACATATAAAAAGTTAGCGGATGTCCTTGAAACGCAAGTTTAAAAATATTTCTTCCTATATAGTCCTAGAGGTTAGCCACAATTATTTTGAATAAGTGGCCGTGGACCAAAACAGGTGATGGTCATTAAGAGGAGGCGAGGTAGTTGGTTGGACAGCTAACTCTATAAAATACCTCAAAACTCTACGACATGGCCATCGGCGGGTAAGAGGCACCAAACCTCTCCTCACTGGTGCCTTGCAGGGTAAATCTCTTTAGACAAAGGCTATTGGAGTCAAACCATATACAAACCGGCGGAAGGTAAGGGGAACCCACCGCTGTATTATCCCTAGTCAATCATGCCTCAAAATATTACGAATTCAGATAACGACGTGAATGGGGATTTCGGTGATAACGAGAGAAGGTTTTTTGACAGTCTTGTTGCATGACATGGAGGTGTGTCGGCACACGAACTGATACATGCTGCAGGAGATCGTGGACTGTGGAGATGCATGATCGCCCACACCAGTCGGCAAGGCACCTGATTATTATTATTATATTTATTTGCCATTAACTCTTTTCGGTAGCAGAGAATAGCTATGAATCGGAGGACTGTGCTTCAGAGGTCCCGGGTAGTTACCGTCCTTAAGATATTTTCTCCAGGTCATGCCGTGTGTTGGGGCACCGCCTTCTCTAAATAGAGTCTTCCGTGGTTGGTGAAACGATCAAGCAGATAGATTGGCCGGTTCTGCACCATTTGGTGATGAAATGATGTATAACAAGCTAGATGTTGTGAGGGCCCTTTGGGAGCGAGTGAACAGTGCGGAGGTACAGCTAGATCATTACAGTCTGAGGAGAATAATGCTGCGATGAGGTACCTGTAGATTTGGCCGTAGCTCAACACTCAAGGGAGAGGTGAGACAGATATGCAACCAGACAGTTTCTGGTGCCATCGGAATTGGAACTCTTCGCTTGCTGCTAAATATCTGGATAGAGGGATTATGGATGTCATGAGTACTGTGATATCGATTCCTAATTCAAAACTGTACTTAGCGTACATATGAGCTTCAAGATTTTGCCTCGAGTTTTGAAGGTCGAGGGTTCGTTTCACAGCGGCGCCGTTCAGTTCACGATCACGAGTGCAGTTTTTACGGAGATTCCTGCCTAACTACGGAGATTCCTGCCTAACTACGGAGATTCCTGCCTAACTACGGAGATTCCTGCCTAACTACGGAGATTCCTGCCTAACTACGGAGGTCGTGCTCTGTGCGACGCTCTCGACAGGCAGCTAGCTGTTCTGCGGAGAGATAAAACCCTGTGCAACAAAGTCGATCCTCATACCTTTATTTTCACGTTACTTCTATGAGCTTCAAGATTTGGCAAGAGCATGTTTTTCAATATTTTTCAAATGGAATAGCGAAGGACATTTTTTTAAATAATTTTCACTGGCTCAGGAAAAGAGCAGTCATGGGACAACTCGTGTGCATTAAAGTTTGAACTCCGACTAAAGACTAACAAATGACTAATCAGTAAAATGCTTCTACCTCTAATATTACATAAACGTCAATAATACTGCATTGTTTCGCAAATTATTGTAATTTTGTCACTGTCAGCAGTACAAAGTAAACTATAATAAAATTCCTTCGCTTCTTGGCAACAGAGAGAAGCTGTAAGAGTTATGGACCCATTATTTCTAGCCTACAGTTATTTTAGGAGAAGAAAATTTAAAGAAAGCGTTGACATTTGTACAAAGATTCTGGCAAAAAATCCATATGATCAAGTATGTATGATCTGTTATCAATGTGCTGTTTGTTTCAATCTGAAATATTTTAATTATTCAGGACATTTATTCCCATGCGTGCTGTGCTCCACTCCCTTCCCCTGTGCAGTAGTGTAGTAGTAGTAAGTGTAGTCACACTGTAGTGTAGTGAGTGAGTTGCCAATAAAGTATTCTTATACTAAACACATTTTATGTTATCTTTTTTTTACAATTGTTAAATGAAGCTTTAGCTAGTATACTTAAAAAGTGCTAACAAAAATCGTTAGCTGGAAAGCCGCCGATCGCTTAGTGGGAGTTCTCTCCCTTGGTTGCATTGCAAATACGGACCGTATAGAGGGGACGAAACAAATGACATACTTACCTATCATCACACGGTTGTGTGTACAGTTGCGTAATCATCATATGGTTGCGTAGGGTGTAGGTATTGGGTTAGGGTTAGGGATAGGGTTAGCGGCGTTAGGGGTAGGGTTAGGGGTAAGGTTAGATGTTAGGGGTAGGGTTAGATGTGAAAATTTTGACGTAGGAGTTCCAAATACTGGCCGACAATGTGATGCTTGTGGGAGTGGCGCCACTAAAATTCTCCTAAATATGACGGCAATAGCGCGGGTCTGGTGCCCAAGTGATGGCGAATTGTCCGTTTGAGTAGCATTCACAATCCTTCAATTGTTTGGGTGTGTACGTCACTGTGCGCGATTATTTGGAACTCCTGCATCAAAATTGTCGCATCTAAACAGATCTGCAGGAGTCACATCCGTGGCAACTAATACCACTTTTATATAAGGATATATTTACTTAAAAAAAAAACCCAGATTTCCTCGAAGCGTCAAATAAACACCCAGATCTGAGGGAAACACCCAAGCATTGGCAGCCCTGTTGTCGACCTCACTGTCTTTTTTTATTTGTGACTTTTCCGCTCCATGTTTGCACTGCAACCAAGGGAGAGAACTCCCACTAAGCGATCGGCGACTTTCCAGCTAACGATCTGTATTTAAAGGAGAGCCCAAAAATCTGTATTCACTGGTCATTGGTACTTATATCTATTGGAACAAAGCTGATGGGCTCTCCTTCAAACTACGGCCGGTTAGTCGGAGTTCAGTCCCTTGGCTGCAGTGCAATTATGGAGTGGAAAAGAGGGAACGAAACAAATGACATAATTACTGTGTGTTGGCGATAGACAGCGTGCAGTGCCCTGCTGTCATCATACGGCTAGGGTTTGGGTTAGGGTTACAGTTAGGGTTTGGTTTAGGGTTAGGGGTATGGTTTGGGCTAGGGTTAGGGTTTGGGATAGGGTTGGGGTAACAGATCCACAGGTGTCACATCTACGGCCACTAAGTCTTGCATTGCAAGAACGCGGTCGTTAATGTGAGTCGCAGCGCGTGGTCTAGCTCTAGCAGCCATGTCGGCGGCATTTTGTTTTGTGATTCGTGCCTTCTCCATTCCGTAATTGCACTGTAGCCAGGGGACTGAACTCAGACTAACCGGCCGTCTAACCGGCCATAGTTTAAAGGAGAACCATTTGATGTATAGACTCTCCGGCTATCCTATAATAAATTCAAGTGTTCAGTGATGTCAGTTGTGATAATAAAACCTTACCTGATATTAGTCGGTGAAGTGTACAAGACTGACACTTGAACTTCACATCTATGGACAGTGTACAAGACTGACACTTGAACTTCACATCTATGGACAGTGTACAAGACTGACACTTGTTCTTCACATCTATGGACAGTGTACAAGACTGACACTTGTTCTTCACATCTATGGACAGTGTACAAGACTGACACTTGAACTTCACATCTATGGACAGTGTACAAGACTGACACTTGAACTTCACATCTATGGACAGTGTACAAGACTGACACTTGAACTTCACATCTATGGACAGACATTGTTATCTTTTCAATGGTTATGCATATGTCTGTGAGAGAGGGAGTGTGCGTCAGAGAGTGAGTGCATATGAGAGAGTCAGAATGTGTGATTAATCTATGTATGTGTGTGAGTGAATTAGTATGTGAAGGAGAGTAATTGTATGTAAGAAATTGAGGCTATCCTCCGACAAACGATCGGCAAAGATGGCGGCAGCAAAATATCCAGCTGAGTCGCGGTCACGGGTAAATTGCGTGCTTCCGGCTACTTAATTTGCGGTCTTCCGGCGTGAGCGGCGTGGGGGCCAGGTTGCGGTAAGCCATTGTCGCCTGAAAAGCGCACAGGAAGTAGCCGAAAGCGCGCAATTGACCCGTAAGCCCATGTGCGCATGGACCCGTGACCGGGGCTCGGCTAGATATTTTGCCGCCGCCATCTTTGCCGACCGTTTGTCGGAGGATAGCCGAAATTGATTATGTGTGTGAGTAATTTAGTTTGTGTGTGAGAGATAGAGCAAATGTGTGAGAAAGAAAGTATTTGAAAATGATAAGGAGTAAGTGAGTAGAGGAGCTAGTGAGTGTGTGTGCATGAATGTATAAGAATCTGGTTACATTTAAGTATGCAGTTATACAAGGGAAAGTCAGTAAGTATGTCACAAATAGTTTTGGGATGGCAGGAAAATGTAGTTGGTGGTTTCTAAAGGTTTCTTTAGGTGACAGCAACATTGAATGTTTCAGTTCTTTAGGTGGTGCTTGGTGTTACATAAAATACACAACACAGAAATAAAATGGCGACTGTACTTATGGAGTGTACCCTCAAAGAACAACATGCTGTTGTGGGTTTTTTTTTGGCGCGAGGGGGGGGGGGGTAAAGGGCTGCCTGCAAAGGACATTTGTCATTTAAGGCTTATTGTTTATGGTGACAAATATTTATCCTGTAAAGCAGTGCATAACTGGGTAAAAATATTTTCTCAAGGGCCCACCTTGGTGGAAGAATGTGAAGTGAAAATGTGGTTAAGAAAACAGAGCATGCAGTTCTATGCAGCAGGTTTGTGAGGAATAATAAAACAATGGACAAGGGCATCAATATTAGTGGACATTATGTTAAAAAATAAAGTGACAGTGTGTGTGTAAAAATAAACAGTTTTCAAGTTGTTATCATCTTTAGTTTTTTTCTTTTCTTTAAACAGCCATTTGTGACTTACTTATTGACCTCTCCTCTTTATAAGGAGTTAGTGAGTAAAGGAGATAGTGAGTGTATGTGTGCACGAATGTGTAAGAATCTGGTTACGTGTGAGTACACAATTATATCACATTTCTGTTTGGATGCATTACTTTTACTCAGGCTGCCTGGCTGTTAAAGACGCGAGCATTAACAAGTCAAGTCTACGTGGATGAGGTGGAAGTAGATGAGGAGGGTATTGCAGAGCTGCTATTAGATGACAATGTTATTGCAAATGTTGCTCGACCAGGAACTTCCTTACGGAAACCAGATACAACACATGAAGGACCTAGTCAAGCTGTTAGGTAGGCTTAATTTCATAATTTAGTTTAGTAGATGTGGTTGATAACTTAAGAGGTTCTTTAAGCTTAATTCCATAGATCCAGTAATGGAGTTAGGTTCACTTACATTCATGAACACAGTCAGTTAGTTAGACCTGAATGTCACCCCAGAATTTATATTTAAAATATCCTATGAACCCTTGATTCCAGGTGATTCTGGGCAGACTGATATTTTAACTCAAAAGCTGAATCAAATGGTGTAAATTCCCCGTGTGGCCTCCAGAGACCCATTTGGGTTTGGGGGGCAGGCGGAAGAATAGACCTATCCCCCCCCCCACCCCCCAAACAAAAATGTTGTAAATGATGACTAATTTAGGATGTTTCCTTTGAAGCTGAAGTGAATATGCCTGAAAGGCAAGAAACCAGTAGTCTGCATACTAGGCAAGAGTAGCAAAGAAAAGAGACATTTTTATGGGGTGAGTTTAAACTCTTGAGCAACAAATATAAGCAACACCGTCTTCACAAAAATAGCAGTCAATGAAAAGAATAGGAGAGAAATGATTGTTGGCAGGTGCTGCAGACACCTGAAGAAAGTCTATTCCTGCCTTTTTTCTCCCAGATGAGCATAAGCTCTCAACCAGCTCTCTCAGTTTGTCTTTCATTTCTTATATTTTGGGTTCCTTCTATGTCTTCCTCATATTTTTGTTTATTGCCCTCTCCAGTTCTTTTCCCAAAGTGTTTTTTTTAATCTTCCCCTTTCTTTTGTCTTGTGGATTCCAGAGCAAAGAATTGTTAATTTTGTTTTAACAGGTTTTCTCAGCTTTTGTCCTTTTTTCCTTACCTCGTTTCACTTCATATGTCGATGTAAATTCTGGAGTATTCACCTTAGTTAGTCGACTGATTATCCTTATTGTACACTGAACCATTTCATAAGTGCTCGGATCCCTTCTTCAGCAAATCCTGCAGCCTGTAGGGGCTCATGACACCAGTTCTGTGTTGGTTTCTTATTTTTCTTTGGCTTCCCGCATAGTGCTCTTGTTTAGCCACACCCCTTTTCACATGTTGTTCTTACAGTCTGGTCATGGTTGCAGATTCACAGTCACTTGGTTCTGGCAGTCGTCTTACTTCTCGTAGAGCATTCAGAATATTAGCAGGATCCATGGCTCTTCCACCCTCCACAGTAGCTTTACCTGCAAGTCTTACAGCTTGCTCATTTCCTTTCATGCCTGTGTGCCTTGGCACAAAAATGAAACTGATATGTATCAGCCAGCCCCGTCCACTTTAGAAACTCCAACCACTGTTTTCTGACCCAGCCTATCTCAGTTGTCCTCAGCATACTCATTGAGTCACTGAGGTAACATGTGAGGGAAAAAGTCAGTGTCTGCAGCCGTGTTATTGCTTCGGTCTCTGCCATGACCTCCATAGTCAGACTACTTGTGGTCAAGGCAACAGCACCAGAATCTTGCTTCACAATTCTTAACTCCAACATGAGCCGTAAAAGCCCAAGAGCTTCTCACATGGCAAATTACAGACCCATCTGTTTAAATGACAGCATCCTTTCCTCACCTCTTGATTCACTGGAATTTGATTATTTCTATCCTGAAGCTCAGCATTGATGATTCTGTCACACCATTTAATTTCATCTCTTCTGGACAGGCACCAACTAATGAATGTTTGTGGTTTATAAGTAATTGTTTTAGTTGTTCTCCATGTTTCCACTCTTTGCAACAGTATTTACCTGCATTCCTACCTAATAATGATTCCACATCTTGACATGATTTTTTATTCAGAATAATCAGGATACCATTTTCTTGATTTATTTTCATCATCTTTGTCTGTCCTCTGTACATGTTTAAGATCTAATTGTTGTGGTGAGTCTTTAATTTGTTCTGTCAGAGAAAATGGAATTCCATTTATGGTTGTATGTATTATCTTCATAATCAATTCTATATCAATATGAATAGTTCATTGTTCATTAAAAGATCATCTTCATCGCGTATCAAACATAACCACAGGTGCTCTGATCTCCTCCTAAGTGTGTCTCCAAGCATTTGTCAGCACTCACTGGGTGATGTCAACATCATGCTGGTCATCTTTACCTTCCAGGACATTAGCTGCTACCCATTGTGGTCTGGGTTGAGCTGGGAGCCAAGGATAGTTTTTAAAAAAAAATCTGCCTCATTGAAGATTTCTTCTTCTTTATGTTCATCTGGGCTGGCAGATGAGTGTCTAGTCACACACTTCAGTGGTTTCCACACAAATATAAGATTCTGTTGTAACTCTGGCACAAAGTTCTGGTTATTCTTCTACTTCTGGTCTTTGAGTTTTATTTGATAACTTGAGTGTTGTATTCACATCATTTTTTACAGATCTTGTTTATTTGTATGCAGACTGTTGGTTCCTTGCCTCTCCAGCAGAGGCAGTCGACTTTGAAGGAAACCCCAAATTAGTCTACTCTTACGACATGCTGTTGGGGAGGCAGTGGATCAGTTCTTTTTTAGGGCCCTGGAACCCACACAGGGACAATGAGGATTTATACACTAGACCGTCAGGCTGGCAGATAAATGTCTTAGTCACACACTGCAGTGGCTCCCACACAAATATACACAAATATAAGATTCTGTTTGAACTGTTACAGGCCAACAAGTCAAGGGGGTCGACCTCTTTCTGGATTTGTTCGTCCAGGCACTCAGTCTGGACGCCCAGGAACAGTGGAGCAGGCATTGCGTACACCACGCACTGCCCATACGGCTCGACCGGTCACTAGTGCATCAGGAAGATTTGTTCGACTTGGAACAGTAATATGTTTTTAATGTTTCTGTCACTTCCTATTAATCTTACTGTTAGTTAATTAGTTGATGTTAGTTAATTAATCGAAAGGTTATCCTCATTGCACATTGGACAAGTCCAAAAGCACTTGGATCCCATCTTAAGTACATCTCCTAGCATGCAGCGACTGATAACACCAGTTCTGTGTTGGTTTACTATTCTTCTTTGGCTACCTGTATAGTGTTCATATTTGGCGACATCTCTTTTGACCTGAAGTTCTTGTAGTCTTTTGAGTTTTAGTGTTGCCTTGTTTTGGAAGTGTGGATGGCAAATAAACAGAGAATTCCAGAGTATCATAATTCCACTCCACTTAAAAATCTGTTTTTGTGGATTTTGAACTGTGGTATGAGAGGTACACTGGAAGAAATTAGGACCTTACCACTTAACATTCCCAAAGATAGCATTGGTATTCTGTGACCAACCTTCATTGTAGAGACGGCACATCATTTTTTGAAATTTAATAAATCCCTACTGATATCTTGCTATCGAATGACATGCTATCTGTGTGGGTTCTAGGGAATGTGGGGGGGGGGGGGGGGGTGTCTGACCCCAGGGGAGGTGATGTGATAATCTGTACAGGTGGCTCTGTGTTAAGAGGCAGACGGTGCTCACAGAGGTTCTTAGGAAAAATGAATGGACGTTGCTTAGTGCAACAAATCCTGGCATATGACTAGTTTGAGAATTCAGGTGGAGGCGGCTTTCTGAAAGTAGATGTGTTGTGCTGAAAGCTGGAGATATCACAGTTTAAACCGCAACACAACATACCATCTGCTCTTCAAGAGGTAAACGCAGAAGGAGAAAAAGAATTTAATGACATGACGTCATAATCAGTGGTCTCACAATGACAACAACCATGATATAGAAGTGGTCTTCACACTTGCCTGTCTTCTCAATGGTCTAAGGCAGTGGTTCTCAACCTTCCTAATACTGCGAGCCTTTAGTACAGTTCCTCATGTTGTGGTGACCCCCAGCCATAAAAATATTTTTGTTGCTGCTTCATAACTTCAGTGAATGTGTGTTTTCCTAAAGTCTTAGGCGACCCCAGTGAAAGGGTCGTTCGACCCCCAGAAGGGTCGTGACACATATGTTGAGAACCATTGTGAAAGGGGTTTGACCGGTTTAATTGTGTTAAAAACTGACCAAGACTCCAAATTTCCTCTGCTTCTTCTTCTCTTCATCTAGTTTCTCATGGTGGAGTTTCAGATAATTTTAAGCTTTCTCTTTTAAAAAAGTTTATTTTTTTAAAGATTTTTACGGAGCAAGAAGGTTTAGGACGAACACAGTAGAACACTCATATTTGTATAGACTGATTGCCACTTGATAGGGGATCTTGTCAACATGATGCCAGCTGCCTTTACTTACCAGTTCATTTCCAAGTACAAATTTTCAAACCTGGGCAGACTTGGGATCCAAAGTCAGTATTTGTCTTCAAACCTTTTTATAGTCCAGATTTTTTTTTTTTACTGGTTGAATGTTCCAGCGGAATGTCGTGGTTTTTTTCCATTTGGACTTATGCTTTGTGTCAGGGCCTGAGTTTTGTGTATTTATCTGTTTTCCTAGCTCATTTTTGTGCAGGTGGTTGTTCCTTGCCGCAGGAGTAGGTGCACTCTGATTTCAAAGGAAGTCCCCAATTAGTCGACTCGACGTGCCTGTTGGGTAGGTAGTGGGTCTATTCTTATTTTCCCCACAATGGGGCCCTGAAACCCACTTGTGAATCCAGAGTTATTCAACAGGGTAGATCACTTGCCAATTGTATTTTATTAATGATCTTTCTATGCTGGGCCTGGGGCCTCAGGCCCATGACAATTCCCATTTTCCAAAATGTTGGCCTCTGAGTAAATTTAATTGAATGGCTCTGTTATAGTCCATGCATTGTGGCATTCTGTGTTGTGTCATTTCAGTCCATTCTGACATAGATGATCTTTTAAGCTATGATGCCATACTGTCACAGCATCTTCTCTCTTTACCTCCTACCCCCTACCAAACTTTCCGACCAACATGATGTACTCATTTTTCTCTATGGTTGGAAAAAATAATCCACTGCCATGGGTTGAATCCAAATCACGTCTTAACAGGTAAGCACATTAACCACTACGCCACTCTGGCTGTAATTAGGTAGCCTGCTGCAAAACAGTGAACTTATATATGAGTTTGCTTCAAAAAGTTCTCAGAATAGTCGACTCATGTTTGAAAAAGTAATTATGGCATAGAAGTTACTTTCGTGTCCTTTACAGGACGGTGCAGAACCAACCACAGCATATTTTGGCTGTTGTGGTTTTTCTAGTATGTTCAGTAAGTTTGCCATTGATTTCTGAAAAGTCAGCTTTCGGGACCACTGTCGAAACCAACGCAAGAGAAACTGTCCGCAGCTGGGATTGAACCCGGCACCCCGGCATTATGAATTGCATTCACAATGCCCAAGCCACAGACGCCGACAATTATGGCATACAGATTATAATTTTATGTTGATAGTGACCATGATGAAAAGAGATGTGACCCTTACATTGGTTCTTGAACAAAAGTTACAGAAGTTTGTTTTGTCTTGTGGATGTAGCACAGTTAGAGTTGAAAATGTCCTTGGTTGAGAAACACACATTTTGTCACCTGAGACAGTAAGTGCTAAAAAAAAAGGAAATTTTCTTCTTCTTCTTCTTCCCTTCCTCTTTTACCGCTGTGGGTGTCGAGGGAGATATAAGGTTCTGTTTCTAGCTCTTCTGGCCGCCTCGACCATAGGCACATCGTGCTGTTGTAGAGTTTCTCTGATGTTATCCTTCCATCTTGTTCTTGGTCTACCTCGTGCTCTACGTCCTTCTTCTCTTTCCATGTATGCTTTGTATGGTATGGTGTCACAAGGCATTCTCTCTAAGTGGGCAAACCATTTCACTTGCTGTCTTCGTATGTAATCCAGAATTGGTTCTGTGCCGACTTTTTCTCTTATGATCTCATTCCTGATCTTATCTCTTATGGTCACTCCTACAGCCCTTCTCAGACATCTCATTTCCATGGTTACTAATTTTCTTTTATGATTTGTTGTGAGTGACCATGTCTGGTACTGGTAGCACAGAGTTGGAATAAATATGCTTTGAATTAGATGTCTCTTTGTGCTGATTGGGATTGTCTTATGCTGTAAGAGGGGGGCTAGCTGTCCCGATACTTGGCTTGCTTTACTGCATCTAATGTTAATTTCTTTATCCAATTTCCAATCTTCGGTAAATGTAGTTCCCAGATATTTAAACTCAGATGCCTGTTTAATGCTTTTGCACTCTATTGCTATGTTTAGATCTGTCTTCTTTTTTCCTATTGACATTACTTCTGTCTTTTCAGTGTTGATTCTCATATTATTTGTTTTACATTCTTCATTCATGGATGTTAGATGTTGTTGCAATTTCATGGCTGTATCTGCTATCAAGGCCTGGTCATCTGCAAAGAGTAATTTGTTGATCTTACTAACATTTTCATTCATGGACTTGGCATTCTTGCATATACTGTCGATGTAGGTGATAAACAGCAGTGGTGATAAGACACACCCCTGTCTTACTCCAGATGTTACTGTGAATGGATGAGATGTTCCCTGATTTATTCTAACTACACTTCTAAAATCCCTGTATAAACTTTTGCACACTTCGATGAGGTGTTCGCTTACTCCATATCTTGCCATTACTTTCCATAATAATTGTCTGTCGACTGTGTCAAATGCCTTCTCCTGGTCTACGAATGCCACAAATAAGTTCTTATTGTAACAAGGATATTGTCTACCATGATTTTATTCCTGAAGACTCAACAGTTAACAAGGAAATATATATTGGTATCCTTTGTCGTCTTTTGAAGCTACCTGGTAGACTTGTTAATGTTTTTTGTTTTTTCCACTCAGGCTTCAATGCTGTCAAACCCAGATGGTCCATTCATTAACATTGCCAGACTGAACTTGAACAAATATGCAGCAAGATCTAATTTAGCCAAGGGACTTTTTGAGTATATCTTTCATCATGAGAATGATGTGCGCAATGTAAGTAGCTCCACCTGCCATGTTTCGTATTTACTGAATGTAAATGTCTAATTTCTTCTCAGTGTCCCTGCCGCATGGCATTGGTCACAGTGTGTGTCCTCAGCCTTCTGTCATGTATACTGTCAATTTATACAGATGTTCATAAAGGGTCTGAACTTTGTTAACTTAATTTGTATTTAACATCATATAAAATGTATTTGTCTGTGTATTTTGTTGCTTTTATTTTTATTGCTTCTTCTCATTTATCTTGACTTTCTCTTTTACCACTTCAGGTGTCGAGGCAGATGTAAGGTTCTACTACTTACTGTTCTGGTCGCCCCGAGCCTGATCAAATGAAACTTTTGTAGAGTTCCTCTGATATTATCTTTCCATGTTGTTCTTGGTCTGCCTCGTCATCGATGCTCTTGTACTATTTGGTCAATGCTTGTATTGTATGACATAACAAGACATTTGCTCTAAGTAAGCAAACCATTTGTTTTTGCTGTAAGTGTATGTAATTTAGTACTGATTATGTGCTGGCTTTTCCTCTTATAACTTAATTCCTGATTTGATCTTGTCTGGTCACTCCTGCAGCCTTTCTCAAACATCTCATATCCCTGGTTACCAGTTTTCTTTTCTGGACTGTTGTGCACATATGGAACTGGTATATGTTTAATACTTTTGCACTCTACTTTTGCTAAATTTATTTTCTGCTTCTTTCTTCCTGTTGACAGTACTTCGGTCTTTTCAGTGTTGATCTCTTATTATTATAATTTTTTTTTTACATACTTCATTTTGAATATTATGACTGTCTGCTATCAAAGCTTGATCATCAGCGAAGAGTAATTCATTGATGTTGCTAACATTTTCATTGCTGGGCTTCACATCTTTGCTTATACTGTTGTCAATGTAGGTGATAAAGAGAGGTGGTTATAAGACCTATCCTTGTTTTACTCCAGTTGTTTCTGTGAGTGGTTTTGATGTTCCCTAATTTATTCAAACTACATATTGTTTCAGACTTACTAAACGTAAATTTGCTTTGAAAAACCACACAAAAACCCCCTAAAAAATTTGGGGTTGGTTCTGTAACGTCCTGTAAAGGCCATGCAACTTTTTAGGAGAGTCGCTGTCGTGTGGCAGCTAGAGGCTCGCTTGGGTTGGTCCTGGGTTTGGGTCCTGAAGAAGCAAGACATCTTTTTAATAAATGACATTGGCTCTCAGATCGACCCAGCCTTGAGTGGGTACCAGGTGTAGTCCTGAGAAGTAAAGGTGGCTGGCCACGTCACTTTTACATGTTAATTACAGTCAACTACATTAAACTAGAATAAAATATAACAGTTTGATATCATGCATTTTTCATGTTTATGATATGCAGTTGTGCGGGGCAATGAACAGCTGATAGATTGGTTGCTGTTGTTCCTCTAGGCAGTGAGCTACTTTAGACATGGTTAAGGTTGTCTGGGATAGTATAGTAGATAGTGCAGAGGAACAGATAGAATATCCATACCTGATAGATATTGTGTCTCAGCAGGAAGTAGATAGAAGTTTGGGTACATTCAGCACTGAAGGAAAATACAATAAAATCTTAACACAGATTCCAAAGGACAGAAAATTTAGTTTCTGTTTCTTCTTTTTCAGCAATCTCTTGTCATGCAGATAATCCACTGCTGGCCATAAACTGGGATGTTATCTCATGGTCTCTTAGGTTTCCCCAAAGCTTATTTGTCAGGTCTACTTAGTGCTGCCACATATTGCTCCACCAAGAGAGGACAGTCTTGCAAGACATGTTCTAGTGTCTGTTCAGCATGAAGACACTGGCAGAGAGCTGTTTGGCTCATACCTAATTTATATGAGTGTTTGTTAGGTCTGCAGTGTCCAGTGCCTAAGCGAAATACTTTGACTTGGTCTGTTCTGTTCAGGTGTTTGAAGAAATCTTTTTCATGGTTATAACCTGTGCTGGTTTTCCAATCTGTTTCTTCTTGGTTTCTTGTCTTATTTATACATTTGACTCCCAGCCCAAAAATTATGTTCATCACATCAACCAGCTGTTCCAGTTTATCTATAACTAAGTGGGCTAGTATTGTGTGCCCAATGTGCCAGTCATTACAAAAAAAATGCTTCTTTGTTTTTACTATTTTACCGTTTCACTACTAAGAAACTAAAAGCTAGAAAAGATTGCCATTGTTTATGGCAGGTAAAAACTGGTTAATTAGAATATGTTTTTTTTCTCTTCACATTTAAGAATCAAGAAACATAAGCAAGCTTCAAATAGAAACATATTATCAAACCAAATTGCCTTGAGACAAATAAAATATTTTGGCGCATGAAAAGAAATATTACTTGTTTTCAGGCATTAGAGCTGGCGGCACTAGCCACAGAGGCAAGTCAGTTTAATGACTGGTATTGGAAAGTTGCCCTGGCAAAGTGTTACTACAGGTATTTGTGTAATGGTGTTAGCTGTCTGATGCTATTCTGCTGATGTGTGTACATATATATATATTTTTATATATGTTTTTTTTTTAGTCCTTGGTTGTTTTTATATATGTCTTCTTCTTCTTCTTCTTTACGTCCTCTTTTACCACTTCGGGTGTCGAGGGAGATATAAGGTATTGCTTCATGCTCTTTTGGCTGATTGACCATAGACACATCGTGATGTTATCTTTCCATCTTGTTCTTGGTCTACCTCTTGTTCTACATCCTTCTCCACTTTTGGTATATGCCTTGTATGGTATAGCATCAGAAGGCATTCTCTCCAAGTGAGCAAACCATTTGATTTGCTATCTTTGTATGTAATTTAGAATTGGTTCTGTGCCTTCTTTATCTCATATGACCTTATTTCTGATTTGGTTTCTTCTGGTCACTCCTACAGTCTTTCTCAGACACATCATTTCTATCTATATGTACGTATGTATGTGTGTGTGTGTGTGTGTGCGTGCGTGCGTGTGGTTTTTTTAATTTTTTAATTTATTTATTTATTTATTTATAAGTAAAGAACATTTTTATGCCATTGGCCCAATGGGCTTACAGTGCTAGACCTAGTTTTTTTAAAAAGACAAATCGGCACTTGATGGGTGAGGGGGGTAACATCATGACAGCTGCATTTACTTCCCAGGATCCACCTGAATGCAGATTTTGAACCATAAACCTGTTTCTCCCTCAACACCTGAGGTGGTAATGAGGAAGTGAAGAAGAAGAAACAATTTTCTTTTTACAGAGAGAACAGGATTTAGTTGAAATATGGTTTTGTTTCCACCGTAGCATCTATTATGCAAGTGGTGATCGTGTTCATTTTAACGTTTTATGTCCCAGGCAACACACAAAATTTGATTTAGGCGTATCAGCCATGTGCACCTGTGGAAAGATGCCCCAGCCAGAATTTGGTACGTTAAGGCACACATTTTGCCCAGAAAGAACAACAGTGGAAAGTAAACTCTATGGACCACTGAATGAACTAAAAATGACATTGGCATATATATGAGAGACAAAATTGCTGATATAGACAACTTATTTCAGACGAATGAAAGAAGAAAAAGAAGAAGGATTGGTTGTTATTTTATAGCTAGTATTCTATTGTTCCTTTATTTATGTGTTTTTTCTGCATAATTTTTTTCTCTTCTTGTTTTATAGTTATTCACATGATTATCTTTGTGGGGACTGGTGGCCAGGTCCCCCCACCCCCTTTTTTTTTGTTTGGGGGTTTGTCTATAAGGGCTTCCACTAACACATCAAACTGTTTCTGTATGTGTATTTTTCCCTCCCTTCCCTCTCCATTAAAGCTTCAAAGTCACAGTTCAGTCGATTAATTTCTACAGGGTAAGAGTAACTAGTCTCACATTAACTCTCCCTAGTTGCTTCTTATGGCATGCATAGTAGGCTAAAGTGTTTACTTTTGTCTGCTTCACTTATGGGTCCCTGTAACATATTGGTGAGATCTTTATTTCTGTAGTAATACATTTTTTTGGAGCTGTATAATGTTGACTAGAATTTAAAAAAAAAAAATCGTTATCTGTGAAAAGACATTAAAATCTTGTATGTTCAAAAATTTCAGACTAGGTATGTACAGAGATGCAGAGAAGCAACTTCGTTCTTCACTAAAGACTGATGAAGTGATTGATGCCTACCTTTACCTGGCCAAAGTTTACTGCCGATTGGACCAGCCTTTGGCGGCCATTGAGGTGTACCAACAGGCCTTGAATCAGTTTCCAGGAGAAACTGCTTTGCTTATAGGCATCGCCAGAATTCATGAGGTTTTAGATTTTGTTTTCATAGAATATCATAGATTGCAAAAGGAATAAAATAATTGTTATCAAAGATTGAAACTGAATACTGTATTATCTAATTCTGTGTGAATTCATCTACAGATAATCCATTGAGAAGGTACTGACAACGGATGACTGTTTAAGGCCTTTAGCGGGTCCCTAGAAAAAACCTATTGTTCTTGATACGAGAGCAGAAATAATTCTGGACTGGCTCAGAACACAATATAAGGACTTTCATAAGTATTAATTATTTTGAACATGATGTAAAGGCAGTTGACAGAAATGCTAAAATTTGTATGGAAGTATCTACTGGTACCTAGCGAATGTGAAATTTATAGCAGTGCATATTTGTACCATCGTCCTTACCCACAAAGGACTGCAGGTTATACCTGGCTCTCTAGCCATTATGGGTTCCCTAATTACTATATTTTATTTAGAAGTTGAATGGGCTGTCTGTGGTCTGCCTTGTTGGTCTGCCATCCAGACTGATATTTATTAATTTTTTTAAATCTCAGGGTGGAAAACTTTCAGGTAGCATTCAGAAAAAAGTGGGGGGGGGGGGGAGAACCAATCAATTGATTGTTAGTATCATGTCCTTGCCATAGCACCCTAAGGTGGGAGAGAAAGACTGAGAGAGCTAAAGCACGTGAAGAAGAAACAGATTAATAATTTAGGGAGGACATGGGCAGAGCAGCAGGAGAGGCAAAAGATACTTGGCATTGATTGACTGAGGGCCTATGCAACAAAAGGGAACAATGGGAGAAAAACCCATCTGGTACCCTGCAACTTTAAAATTAACAGCATAAAATATTCTGTCATGATAAAACCATCATCATCATCATCATTATCATCATAAACCACTTCTGCCGTTAAGTGGCGTGGGGAGGAATAATTTGCGATCCAGTGCACGTTGGCTGCCACTGGCTATTGTCATGCGGTGAAGGCGTAGAGTGTCTTTAATGTTGTCGATCCATGTTTTCCGTGGCCGTCCTCTTGCTCTTGTAGCTGATCTTCTGAGATGTAGTGCTTGTGATGGTATTTGATCTTGCGGCATTCTAACAAGTTGGCCAAACCACTTGATCTACTGTTTCTCTATGAATCTAGTACAAGGTGTCATTCCCACAATTTGCCTGATAGTTTCATAATTCACTCAATCTCGGATGGTTAGGTCGAGTGAATAATGAAACTATCAGGCAAATTGTGGGAACGACACCTTGTCCTAGATTCATCGAGAAATATTGTTACTAACTTTAGGTTACCAATGTCAGACTTGGACATTAACAAAAGAACATGAGAGAAAACTAACGACCTGTGAGATGAGATGTTTGAGAACGATTAGGAATAACACCAAAATATATCCAGTGAGAAACGATGCGATCTCAGGAACTGTTGGAACAACACCTATTGCCAAATTTATTGAGGCAAAGATTGAAATGATGTGGCCATCTTATGAGAATGAAACCATCGATGCCAGCAGCAAGAGCGTACAACCTGAAAATCGAAACACTAAGAGGCAGAAGATGACCGAGAATAAGATGGATCAAAAGAGTCCCTGGCACAGTGAGAATGCATAACATCACGGCATATCAAGTGACTGAGCGCATCTTGGCTCGACTGCCGATCGTCTGATGAACTGCGATGCCTAGCGGCATAAGCAGATTTCGACAAAAGAAAGAAGAAAAAGAAGACCAAGGAAAATGGTGCAGTGTGCAGCTTGAATGCTTTTACTGATATATGCCTAGATGTTAATGACATTTCTGCAAATAGAGGCTATGTTTTTATGTTGAAAATGACTGTCATTGAATGTTATTTGATTTTTGTTCAGGGGATGGATAAAATGGAAGAGGCTGTGAAGTTCTACAAGGAAGTATTGAAGTTTGACAGCATGAATGTGGAATCCATTGCCTGTATTGCCACCCATCACTTCTACTCTGACCAGCCAGAAATAGCCCTCAAGTTTTATAGGTAATTCCATTTGTTCACCATTGTGTTGTAGTTTACAGCTAGACTATCATATCTGTGCTTTTCAGCTCCATGTATCCAATTTTAGCAAACCACTAATTACCATATTTTTCAGTGTATAAGACGCCTCAGTGTATTAGAAGACTCCTATTTTTTAGCCCAAAATTAAGACATAAATATCGTATTCACATTCTGTGCTTAAGATCCACAATTTTAAATTTAAAGAATTTAGGAAAACATATCATCTTATACACAGAGAAATTTGGTGGTCATCTTTTAGGACATGCTTGTTAGGGGAGAGTGAGTCCGTCCGTCCCCCCCCCCCCCCACCCCCCAATGGTTCCTGGAATCCATTTGGGGTTTAACTGTTATTTCCCCATCTGAGAGTTTCTGTGGTAGAGTGGTTAAACCTTTGACTTTGTTCTCTGAAGGTTGTGGATTCAGTTTTGGACTCTATTTTGCAAGTGCAGGTGTTTCAGAGGTCCCTGGGGGTCATCATTGGAGCTATGGAGTTTATGCTCTCAGAAGGTGAACAGAAGCACTGATGAAAGAGACTGACCTATATGCCTGATAAAAGAGACTGACCCTTATGCCTTTTCCCTATCTGCTGAGGAAGTCTGAGCACCTGTGTGTGTGGCAGGAAGTCTGAGCACCTGTGTGTGTGGCAGAAACTCTGAGCACCAGTGTGTGTGGCAGGAGAAAATTGAAGCCTGCGTCTAGTTGTCAAAGAGTTAATACTATCAGACCAGTGGGAAATTGTGGAAATGACTAAGAAATCTTTCTTTTCTTCTTCCTGTTAACATCTGTAGACCCTAATGATAAGGCATAGTTGTTCATTCACTTCTACACTTTGGCTTCATTGCAGGACTTGAGTGTTCATCGTGGCACCTTTTAGTTCACGGGTGCAATTTTTACAGAGGTCCCTGGAGATCATCAGCTATGGAGATTATGCTCTGTGACGCTCCCAGCAGGCAGCTCGCGGTCTGAGGAGAGATTCTGAGCCATATGGGATGAAACTCTTTGCAATGAACTCAATCCTCGCACCTTTACCTTTACTTGAGTATTGTGTAGACATTAGTTTTACACATCTGGCTTATTTGAGTATAGACTCTTGGTTTCCCGCCTCTCAAACAGATGCACTCCAACTTTGAAGAAAATGATCCTATCTGTATTGGCCAGGCTGGAAACCTGTTTCTGGGATAACCTTGGAGAGATGGAGATAGGTCTTGACTAGTATGAGTCCCATTTCTGGTGTACCACCATGAGTGATTCAGCATCTCAACGTCCCACTTTGAGGATTAGTTAGTTAGTTAGTAAGTTAATTAGTCTTTCCTCTTGAGCCTATGGTGGTGCATAGGTCAGAGGTCATAGCTCTCCATGTCTGGCAGTTCCTTGTCACCTGTTTTAGGTCTTGGATGTTTATTAGTCCCATGGCTGAGCCTTTCCTGATAATTGTTCTATGCAGGGTCTCTCTTGGTCTTCCCTGTATTTTTCCTTCCGGTGTCAATATGAGGGCTTGGTGGGAGATTCTGGTCTTATCCCTTCTGAGTGAGTGGCTGATGTAGTTCCATGGCACTTTCTTGTAAAAGAATTGAAGTCATCATATTATTTTTAGAATTTGGAGATACCAGCTCTAGATTGCTGGCTGCATTTGGAAGAGAATGCATTCTCATTTCATTTTATGAATCATGATTTGAAATTCTGATGACATTTCTATCTTGACCAATGCATGAAGTACATACAAGATTGATTAAAGACACTTACTGAGAAGTCTAAACATTCATAAAGTAGTGTTTGGAGGGCTTGGCATGAGTTGATTTAATGCTGATGCTCCAGTGAGGGATAAAAGACAGCAGAATAAAGAGATGATATATTGTAGCCTTTTTGTTTTGTTTTGTTTTTGCAGGCAACTGATACATTGAAAATTGTTGTGCGTTGCTTTCTGTTGAGTCTGCTGATGTAGTCTTGTGGATGTTTAATGTTGGTTTGTTCTCTCCACAGCTCCTTGTATTTTCCTTTGATAAATGTTCTGATTGCTGGTAATGACAATGAATGGCTGTGTTGTTTCTTTTTTGTTCCATTTTTTGCAAGTCTGTCCACAAACTCATTTCCTGGTATGCCCCAGTAAGACGGGATCCACAGGAGAAAGACTGGTTGTTTTCTGAGTCTGTTTAGCTGGCAGGTCAATTCTCTCGGCATCTTGTCTCATGGATCCCCTTGAGTCACCTGGAGGACTGACATGCAGTCACAGAGGAGAACAATTTTGCTGTTTTTAATGTTGATTTCCTCAAGCACTTTGGTTGCATCAATAATTGCTTATTGCTCTGAAGTTTGTTGAGAGTTTCCCAGATGCACATGATGTTTCCACCGTGGTTCCATCTTGCAGCATGATGACCGAACTAGCTCCTCCAGTTATTGCTGCTTCCTTCAATGATCCATCGGTGTGTACATCTGTCCATTTGGGTTTTGGTAAGAATTGGACATGATCCAGGGTCCTTGCATGCAGTTCTAGGTCAAATTCTTCAGCCTTTGTCTATGCCTGGATTATTGTTGTCACTGTATAGTTTTAGGCTGTAGGACTATGTTGTATGTGTGGATCATTTCCCACATTGAAGGGTCTTTAGGAAGGATGTCATTTATGTAATATTGTTTTATTTTACACTAAAATGTTTGTTTCAGACGTCTTCTACAGATGGGTGTGCACAACTCTGAGATTTTCAACAATCTTGGCCTGTGCTGCTTTTACTCACAACAATATGATATGACCTTGACATGTTTTGAGCGTGCCCTGGCATTAGCCGAGGATGACATTGTCTTGGGGGATGTCTGGTACAACATTGGCCATGTTGCTGTGGTAAGTTAACCTTTTAAGATATTTGACTTAGCATTGACCACAGAATCTAGCTGGGCATTTTTCCAAACAGCGTTCCATTATGCTGTAAAAAATCACAGCTCATGTTGAGTGTGACTAGCAAGATCAGTTTGTGTTAAGAAGAATTCAAGACCAGCTGAGGCCAGGGATGAAGTTCCTCCTCTCCTTAACACAAAGCCTGGGCAGTATTGCAGAGACCATG